TCCCCAAAGAGGAAACACCATCATGAAGAAACAGGCACTAAGGTCCCTGCTCCCCTGAGCTGCCCATGGGTCTCTGCTGGGCTCCGTGGTCTTCAGGCCTGGGAGGATGTGGAAAGGGTTGGGAGCTGCAGAATTTCAGTTACCCATCCCAGGCAAAAATTAAACTTTGAACATGTTTACCTCTTCCGCTGCAGCTGTGCCATGTCTGAATGTTCATATTAAATTTTAATCATTTAAAGACACACTTGCAATTATGTTAGAGCTAAGTAACTCAAACAACAGCCAGCTTCAATTAAGACTCAGTGAAGACTGACAGCAATGAGACAGCTGGTTATTCCAAATATACTACTAAATACCAGATGATTCTAAAAGCTGCCTTTAAAATGTTTGTAACAATGATAAATCATTTGAATGAAGCCAGTTAATATAAATTAGTACTGTTAAAACAGTGATGTAAAAAGCATCTTACCTGAAATAACAAATGGGAGGTCTGGCATTACAGGACTGGAATGGCACAACTCCAGGGGGCCAGTGAATTCCTCAGTATCCAAAAAAAGGCAGTTTGAGCTTGCAGTTCTCATTGGGCTGCAATCAGCTGCCCAACATCATTTTCAAAAAGACTTGGTGTCATCTGGGATGCAGTCCTGAGCTATTAGTCTAATAAAAAGCAAGATACAAAAGATTAATAAATAACTAATTTAAGAGCAAACTGTGTGCCTGCATACAGTTAAACTGCTCCTGCTGGCAAGTAACTTTACACTTGTGGTTTTCTATTCTGCATTTCTAAGGGACACAAGGCTACACAGCACTTTCTGCAGTGCTTGCTTCTCTGTCTATCAGCTGCACCTAAACTGTGAACCTGTTTTAATCAAGCTTGGATAAAGGTCTCATAGACACTGAGCTTTAAGCTCCCTGGCAATAGGCAGGCTTGGATAAAGGTCTCATAGACACTGAGCTTCTTTAAGCTCCCTGGCAATAGGCAAAGAAGAATAGGAGGGAGAAGGCTGAGCTTCCCTGGTGAGGGAAGATGTACAGTGTGAGCTTGGTTTGTACAGGTGAAAACTATTTCCAAATGCAAATCTGTAGCAGACCAGGATTTCCTGCTTTCACAGCCTCCTTTCATGGGCTTTCACTGCTTTTCTTCCACACAGAACTATTTGTTTAAAGGAAAGGAAAAAAAATAGAGTGAAACAAATCTTTGCTCGTGTCAGCTGCAGTGTAACTGTGGTTGCTCACACATTTTCCTGTCAATTTGTATTGTCTTGTACCTGTAACGTTTTGTTCTTGTGGGGTTGCTATTTGCTCTCCTGTGCACCCAGTGGAACCCCCATGAACTTACTGGTCCTAAAAATCCTGTAAAATGCTGACACAAAGGCAAGATAAATACAGAATGGAGATAACCAAATGAGAGAGCTTTTCTGAGACCCACTCTGGCAAGTCCAGCTCTTCTGATCCATGTGGGATGCAAGAGAGGGAGCAGCTGCTCCCTGAGAAAATCCTTGTGACAGGTAAACTCAGGACAATTCCTCTGGGCTACACTTGGTACATTAGTGCACATGCAGCACGTGTGGCTCAGGTAGTGCAACCCATTGAGAAACAACTAAAACAAGTCTTAAGAAGAGGGAAAAGAGAGAGACTGGATCCTCACTTGTGTCTGCCTGCTCACCCTGGAATGACAATTCCCTGAGCAAACAGTGTGTGCCAGCACTGGCACAGGATTAGAAAGAGAGCTTCACTTGGCTTCATTCACAAGGCCAGGAGCACAAACAGCTTGCCCAGCTCTGGGGCCTCACGTGCCCTCTGCCCCCTTCCCACAGACTCCTTAAAAGCAGTATTTGGTTTCATTATTATTTATTATTCCATCAAAAGGATATTTGATTTACACACACAGTGTTACTTATTACATTTTTACAAAGCTTTTGAACAATGAAACTATTTTACATAAGTAAGACATCCAGTCCTCTCACTACCTGTTATTTAGAAACATTTTTTGTTCTGTTTCCCTGGTCTTCATAACTCCTTACACTAACATACAGTAGCTGTAGCAGTGGCTTCATCAGACGAATTGTTTAGTCAACTTTTTCTTCATTGGAGCTACTGGACTTGTCACAGCATTGCATGCAGTCCTACAATGGTTCCTCTTCTTCCAGTTTCTTACCCTCCTGAATTACCATTTTTAGAAAACCATTCTCAGTATGAAGCAATCAGTTAATGAAGATCCTTTAAAACTTTTCCTGCAACTGTCAGTGATGAACTCCTTTGATTCTGTGAACCTGCATTGTCCTTTGGGAACATTCCCTGATGGATCCCGTGTTTTCACTTCTGTGGGTTTTTTGTTTTAAATGAAATCAGAGAGATCTCATCTTCATCATAAGGACAACAAAGTTCTTAGTGACTGAGGAATGTTCTATGACCAGATCATTAATACTCAGAAACAAAATTAGGTTTTCTGGATCAGGTGGGTAGTATTCAATTTTAGAAGAAAGTAAGAATGATCAAACTTAACATAATGCCAAAAGCAAACAGCATTTTTTTAGGGAATGTGTAATCTTCTTGGCAAGTAGGTCTTGTTTTAAGATAATGATCCACAGAATCAGCAAGTGAGAATTTCTGTGGCCTGTAACCAAGCTGGTTTCGTGCCTTGTCTATTCGGAAAGTGTGAGTTACAGTCATGTTCCACACCTAAAATCCAAAATGACAATTGTGGAAGTGACTTAAATATCTGGTTTTCTAGAACTTGGATGAAAATATGTCAACAATGATATTACAATTGAATTAAAGACATGAATAAAGACATACATGCAAAAAAGTGTGCATTTGGGAGGCAGATTCTGTCCAGAGCTAACAGAAATTAGCTGATGTAGATGACAAGTAGAGAGCCAAAGCTGGTGGACTGGGTGGACTCTCTGACACTGATTTCTCACTTGTGAATGTGAGAGGAAGAACTAAGGAAATCCCACACTTCCCTCAGACTGGCTCTTCTGCAAAGAAAAATGTGCAATGGAACTGGATGGAAGCATTGGAGGAGAGTGGTCTGGCTTCTCAGCCTTGCAGAAATGCTTATCTGAGGAGTGGAAAGCGAGCCCTTTTGGAGAGTTAGATCCTCCAGCCCTGAACGCCTGGTACCTGTCAAAGTGCTTCAGTTGCATGGTCTCAATGATCTCTGCCTCAGACATAGAACTAATGTGGAATTAAGTATAAGAACACACAGAAAAATTCTGGAATAACTGAAAAGCTACAACAGAAGTTAATGAGGTCCATTCAGTCCCATCAGTGTCCTACTATGTTACACAACACAATACAGTAGGAGAGGTAATAGATTAACTAAAGCATTTTGGCTTATCTTATAAATCATAATATTGTACAAAAAAACAAGTTAGATAAAAAATAATTTGTCCAAAAGTTGTGGGATTTTTTTTTTCAGAAAACTGACCTTTTATTCCAACTTAGAATGACTTTTAGTGGAATTTCTAATTTTTGGGTAGCCTGGTGTTAGAACTGCTACTCCTGGAGCACCTTCTGTTAGTGAGTAGTCCAACAGCAGAGGACAGCTTGCTGGAAATGACCGTGTAGGGCCTGTTTTCCTCTGTGTGCCAGCTCCATGCCAACTTGCACCTACCTCTCGGATGCTCCCATGGATCATCTAATCTTCAAGAAAGGTTTGATTTCTCATGAGTTTATAAGGGGTGGCCAAGATGGCACAGAAAAATCAGGCTGGAAGATGACTGTGAATGCCCTGGATGGACTATGACCCAAGCAGAAAACCAGAGCTCTAATGCAGACAATCCTGACTGCACCCAAAGGGCTTATCATGTACTTCATGAGAATTCTGGTCAGAAATATAAAGACATGCTCTCTTTTTTAATATATTTACCTCACTCCTTGTCAAGAAAGGTGTAAAGTTAAAAACTGGCTTTAGTCTCAGGTGAAGATACTCCATCACAGTGGCTGTGAAACAGAAAATTACTTAATGAGACAGCTGGATAACAATGAGCTGAGGTAATACTGGCATTGCACATCTTGTAATTCCTACTGCTACCAGAGGGTGCAATTAAGGAGATAGAACTCAATGTTTGGACACAGTTTATTAATAGCTTTTAAACTTTATCTGGCAAAATGTCAAATGGCATAAGAGATTACTATTAATTAGAATAATATTAAGTTACGTAATTTATACAATTTGGGTCACTGCATTTTATAAAACCATTATGTAGCTTTATAAGAATAACAAAACATTTTTTAAAAGCACAGTAATTATGTGTTTTATTATTTTTACCTGCTATCTGAACAAGGAGAACAGGAATACGTATCCAGGGTTTCCTGTAGCCTAATTTTTCAAACTAGAAGAGGTATAAAAGGAAAGAGTAACAGAGAATTGAGGTGTCAATGAAGCATGAAAATGAATGGTGATAAAACATGTATCTAAACTTTTTTCCAGGTGATCTTCCTATCAATATTGGTAGTAAGAGAAGTGATTGAAACCCACTACTCATCCCACCCTTCAAATGCAACTGGATGGTAAAAGGGAAACAATGCTATTTCTGAGGGTCAAGTGACCAAGACTGAGATACATAGCTACATTTAGACACAAGCCCATTCTGTGCTGCAATAATTTTCCTGGAAGACTTTTCTGTGTTGGCATTGCAGAATCAAAACTTTGGCATGCTCCTAAAATCCCAGCCTGATGTTGATGACAATAGAATGTTGCCTCTTTTTGGTTTTTGAGATAAGGTTCTAAATGGCCTTACCTTTTGTGCTGCAGCTGATGACAGAATAAAGCAGTAAACAAGGGCTATGAAAGGCCTTCCAGATGTGAGCAGTAGAACTTTTTGTGCGCTATAAGCCTGCTTTACAGAGATGCTGCTGTTCTGTACCAGGCTAAATTGTCTCAAAACAATAAGGGCCAAACTCCATAGTTCTGCATAACCAAAACTTCCCTCAAAGCCAGTGGAACTTTGGGATATGCAGGGAGAACAGGACTGGCTTTAATGTTAAATAATTCAGTAATTAATTGGCACTGAATTCCATTTAGTTAGCATGGTCTTTTAGTTAATAACATGAATCAGGCCCACAGGGTGAACAGGAGCAGATGTGTGTGCACTTCATACCAGAGGGGTGATCCACTCAGAAAAGGTGACATTTTCACCATCATGGATGTAGTATGCCTGGCCACTCTGTTAAAGAAGCAGAGAAAAACAATTAGAAAACTACAGAGGATGGCATTTTGAAACTCTGATCTCAAAACATTAAAAATTAAACCTCCTTGAGAGTTAAAGCTACCAGGTCACAACGTTTATATTGTTTACTTACAGCTACATAACCCTTCTCAGAGGTGAGAGCCTCAGCAGCCAGTAAGTGAGCTTGTACTAGATTTCCTATGTGAACCCAGTTCATCTGAACTTTGTGATTCCCAAACTTGAAGCTAAATAGTCTCCGTTGGATACTTCCCTATAGAAACAGAAAACATGAAATAACTATGTTATTCCTTTATTACATGGTATAAGGTATTCATTTTGGCTCAGCCTGAATACTTGGAATTTTCTGTATTTGTGTACAATTGCAGCACAAGAAATGTGTCAGAAGAAGAAAACCAACTAAGCTGGTGGTTCTATAAATCAAGGACTGTTGCACTGATATGCAGTGGTAAAACAGAGTGACATGATAGTGACTGGCTGAAATTAAAGTACATATTTAAAAGACAAAATTTACATTCAATGATTAGGGATGTAAACCTAGTTCTTCTACCATGGCCTTTCAGCCTTGCATTTTTTGTTCTTTTCACTTGAAGTACAGCTTGATCCTTGCCATTTCTGCAGCGCTCACATCGTGCTGATGTTATCTCACATCATAGGACCTGTCACAAAGCTTTCACAACAGGTTTCCTGCAGGAATTGTTAAGAACTTGAATCAAGATACTTCCATTTGTGCTGTGCCCTTATGACTACAGGCAGAGTCCTCCAGAGCTGACTAGACAACACGTACAGCTGCTCGAGGCAGGTGGTGGGGCTCCTCTGGCCCGTAGATGCCCGGTGGACGGAGCACACACGTGTGGAGCTTTTCCCCTCCTGACAGAGAAAACAAGATGTGATTTTCAGATAGCTTTGCTGCCAACATCTGGCTGACATATACTATCTGAATTTTACACTGTGAAAGTAAAGGATCAGTGACTATTCTATATGATTCTGCTTCCTAGTAACTTGGTTTCTCAATAAAATTGAATTTCACAGCAGTGAAAAACCCCAGCTCAGCAGCCTGAAAACTGAATCCCTCTGACACAGAAGAGCTTGAATAGGGACAGGATAAATCAAACTTTCCTCTAGATATGCCTTCTGCATAGAGGACTGACTTTTGCTGTTCATTACAGAAACAAGTTTATAATGTACATATTTGTCCATCACTGTAGATACCTGCAACACTGTCAGAAGAGTTCAATTTGCTATATTTAGACACCTTGCTTGTAGCTCAATGGCAAGACAAAGGAATGGAAGAGGTGTCTTAAACAGAGGCTTTCAAATTAGTTAAATCAAAAGGCTATTTGAAGGTCTACATGTGAATCAGGGAGTAGACTCCCCTGACTCCTGAGAACAGACACAATTGCACCTCTTATGTGGGCAAGACTAACTGGTGGTGGGCATTTGTTCAGTAAAGGATCCTAAACTTGAATACCCACCTAACTGATGTTTGCCAACTTTTCAGTTCAGAGAACTCAGTAGGAATAGCAAAATATGCATGTAAAAGCAAAGATAAATATTTCCCTTGCTGTGTACAGACAGATTTTTAGCCACAGCTATTTATGCATGTGTGACTAGAAATTAACATGACCCTGATATTGCCAATCTCTTAAAACAAATCCAATTATTCTTGCTAGACACTTGCAAGCTTTTGGGGATTATGAGAATGACCTATTGGGGAGTGCTTAGAGACTGGTATTGTCAGAGCAGCTCGAAGGGATGGGGACTAAAAGCAGAGATTCTGTATCTTTTGCAAAATGGGAAACCTTTTCAGATTATTTGAAGGAGCAAGATCACAGTCTCTGAATTCTCCCATCTATTGTTTGCACATAATGTCACACCTGTCTGGGTATACACATAAAAATCATTCACCCACCAAAAGGAAGAGTCGAAACAAACAAAATCAACCCTTATTTCAGTTAATGTAAAGTATACTATTAATTGATAAATGAGTAACCAGAGAATGAAATACTAATTAGCATTATTAATGACAGGAGAAACCCCAATGTGTTATATGTACCTTTGAGTAAAGTTCCATTAGCAGCAAGAACCATTTGGTCTGCCATTGCCTTTGTTCTAGAATAATGATTAAATTGCTATAAAGAAAGGGAGAATATCAACATTAAAATCACATAATTGCCTCTGTAAAGGCAAACTTACTGTTTATGTCTGCTAACATTTATATCTAGCCAGCTTATAGGTACCAACTGCGTAAAACCAAACTATAAATAACAAGATACAGCAAATATATACCTGGTTTATGACAAAGAAACTTGTCAGACTTACATTTTGGTTCCACAGGTTTAGCTTGAGAGTTAGTTTAAGTCCACTAGTATTTACTTAACTCAGTTTTTCTGCTAGATGTACTGAAAAAATTAGTATTAAGCCAAATGTTCTGGTGGGTTGGATAATCTTATTTTGAAAAGAACATCCATTTTGAATTGGAAAACGTTTTTTAAAACAGTAAGTTAAATATGAAATTAAAACTTCAGACTTTCCTAAAAATGTTTCCATTTCTTATTAAAGCCATGTGGGAACTTATAAATAATTCCCTCCCAGCTGTATCTTTTACTATTAACACTAAAAATTGCACCTGAGTGTATTTAAACAATAGGATTCTAGACATAGTTGGCACCTGCAGATTTAGCAATTATTTATCCACACAAGGATACTTATGTATCTGTTGAGCTTTGTATTGCTATCCTTCCTATTGAAAAATATACCCAAAAATCCCAACATGGAAAATTTTTCTACTCTCAGCTGGCTTAATCCAGGTGCTTCACCTCACTCCATGCTGACCTGCCTCTGCTGCTTTCTTAGTGATTTCTAGGTACTTTATAGTCTCAAATCTGTCTAGTTACAGCAGATTGAAGCCCCTATGATTTGAGTATTTCTTCATTGACCACAGCTCAATTTTTATTACTTAAAATTAATTTCATAGAATTTGATATGATCAATAGTAAAACAGCTTCTGCTCTCAGAACAGCCTCCACATAATCTGTGCTTTAGAGCACAATAAATGCTAGGCCATCACATGAACAAGATACCTTTTCCAGTGGAAAATATGGCACACTTTCTTCATCTCCTTCTTCAATAGGATTTCCTCCAAATACCACATTCACTGTACTGGTATATATCAGTCTAGGGATATTTCTTTCTTTGCAAACTAGGATGGTATAAAAATAAATGCAAATGAAATTCATATTATTTACAAAACAGAGTGTTAATGATGGATTTCAGTTGAGTGTTAAAGTATTATGTCTGAATTCTCTGCATGTATGTCACTGCAAACTGGAATAACATTAATTTCCTTTTGATTTAACAATGCTTCTGAAGTTTAACTGAATAAATATTCAGAGTCAGGAACATTTAGAATCTCCAGAGCCATCATTCCAGATGCTTAATTTCGAAAATAATGAATGTAATTACTATGTTGCAAATATCTGAAACAAATCCAATCATTAAACCTATTATTAAAACATAGATAAACAGGTTCATGCTCTTGCCAGGCTGTTCCCTTGTTGGGAGCCTATGGAAATTTGACATGATGTTGTCTGTGGAGTCAGAGGTTGGGGTAAGAAGAAGGGAGCATGTGGCAATGCCTTCCCTCTAACCCATTGAGAGTTTTACTTGCCTACCACTTCACTCCAGCTATTAATGCTTTATTCAGCAAAAATCCACAGTAATCCACAATCAGCTTGAAAATGGGTCTAAATTAAAACTGCTTTGGCTTTTCAATTTTTTTGCCATTTTGTTTTTGCAGGAAAAGCAAAGAGAAAGTAGTTTTGGCATTTAAAATACACTTTGAAATGGTCTTCCTAGAATTGAACATACAGAAATAAATCTATTAATATTTTCCACAGACAGTAATTACACATCAGTATAATAAAAAGGGATCACACTTAGATAGATTATTAGAAAGGGTAGAAGATTTTCTGTATTAATGTGATAGACTAACAGCTAAATACACTTAGCACTCCCATGGCTCCTGTTACCATTTACAACACAACAAATGGTACAATCTCTCCCATGTTATTTCTATGAGCAAGAGGATAACACTTCTCCATTGCGTAGAGTAAAGAGAAAAATAACCAGTACAGGGAGGGGAGTTTAAGCTGGTTTGCCAAGGAATGAAGTCTGGGTTGAAAACCTACCCCCATCCAAAGCAGTGGCAAATCTGCTGCCAGTTTTAAGGACACCTACACACCTGCTTCACAATACAACTCAAAGGAGGGAGAGAAGAGCTTCTTTTTAGTGCCACATCAATGCAGGAAACATCCAATTAGAAGTTTTTGTAATTCATGGTTTGGATCAGACACAAAGAATGAAAATCAAGGCACCTACCATCAATTATTATTTTTGTGCCTCCGACATTTATGGATTCAATCCGGTCTTTCATTTGAAGCTAGGAAAAGAGTTTGCACAATATCTAATTAATTAATTGCCACATTCACAATGCAGTTATTACAGTAGCCACATCTAGAACAGCAGTGGCCTTTTTGTGATGTGTTACAGTGATTCCTAAGTTCTCATTTTTATTTTCTTGTTCAATGTATGAATAATGAAAAATTAAAGATAAAATGCATCTGAAAGGAAATTACAATGCTTCAATTTCTTCTTGCACCCCAGATAATCCATGATAGAGAAACAGGGCTATGCTCCCTGAGAGGTTTCACAAATTCTTGTTCCATTCAATATCTGTTCTGTTCCTAGATATAAATTAGTAGTTTCACAACTTATTTTGATACCACATTCTGATTATCACTGTTAATTAGCATAACTATATTGAGTTGCTAGTCCATTTCCTCATGACTATGAGTTCACAAGAAGAAAACACATCAGCATTAGTTCTAGAGCAGTATTGTCTCACTTCTTCAGATTAAGAGAAAAAGGAAATGCCTTCTTATTCAAGATCTTAAATCTATTATCTCATCTTTATAGAGTATTTTGTGTAGTGCATTAGTGGTACAGAAATACACACAAAGTTATGCTTTGACCTATATTATTTAAGGAATCTCCCTTGTCTGTGTGGATGACTCAACCTTTATAACTAATTTCTGTCTGACATACATGTCATATAATTACGTTCCTTGATCCATGCAGACGGAAGAATAAAGAAAGAGAATAAAGAAAGAAAATGTTAGGAAAAATGTACTTGCCTGTTCTAATCCTGACATTCCACACGCAGCCACATGAAAAACACAGTCAACCCCTTCACATGCTTTGAATAATGCATCGTAATCCCTCACATCACCCTGTACAATGAGAAAATAATGGATTTTTGATGGGTAGATCATTACATTCTCTTTAAAAATATTAGTAAATATGGCTATGAATGAAAATGTAAAATAATTCTGAGGTGTTTTTCACAATACTTCACTAGCATTAAATAAAACATTATAAATGTGCAGAAGAATCCATGACTAAGAGTTTTGTCAGTATTTTGTTGCAAAATAGAGGACTCTTGTCTTCAATTATAACGCGTAGTTTCACCCTTAGTCCTGCAGCCCATAGGCTGGCAAAACTTGTCTGACTTGAATGGGAGCAGCAGATGCTTGAGGGCTGGAGAATCAAGCCCCAAAGACAATATATCACAGCAGGA